TTCCCCGGTGAAGCCGTCCGGTCCTGGACTTTTATTTGTAGGGAGGTTTTTAATTGCTATTTCTATTTCCTTTCTAGTGATCGGATTGTTCAAGTGTTCAGTTTCTTCTTGATTCAGTTTTGGTGGACAGTATGTTTCCACCACGCTACATTTTTACACTGTTGTGGTTTAAAAAACAAAAAAAAAAAACCCTTATGATTCCTCTTCTCATGAAAATCTAAATAAAATTCAGTTCTAGAAAAATAAAGTTGCATTTTTAAACACCCGATTTTGTCACTGTAAAATCTGTTTGTAGTAGGAGTCTCTGGCATTTAGGAACTGGTGGCTATTGTTATTCCTTCCTCTCCTTATCAGCTAATACTGCAGGGTTAGCTGTAGGAGGGGCAAGAAACAGAGCCTTGTGTAATGGGGGAGGGGGGCCACATACTTCCCTTTTCAGTGCTTAAGGCCAATAAGAAATCATGTTTATGAGCCTAATTATACCTGGCCCTGAGCTAAACGGTGTAATGGGAGCCTGGCACGGGCCTGGGCCAATCCTCAGGGACTTTTAGCTCTAAGAATAACCAACATGCTACAAAGTACATTTTTTTTCTGGCCCCTGGCAAAGAGACTTCTTGGGGTTAAATATGCTCATCAGTGTTCCCAAGAATCAGGCTTAGAAATGGAACTACTGAAGCTCAATCTCTTTCAATTCGTGTTAGAAGGAACTAATAATGTCAACTATAGTTAGATTTTCATTTTTAAGGGTAATTCACAGCTCAGGCTGAAATGGCAGAATGTCAAATATAAGCCCAGTAAAAGAGTGTAAGTTTAGCAGGCCCAAAGTAACCAGCGCCCTGTTCCAGCTTCTATCATTTACTTCATTCATTTAATAAATATTTATAAAGCACCCATTCTGCACCAGGCACCATCAAGGACTCATAAGGGGGCAGCCCCCAGAAAGAACAGATCAGAGGCAAATACTCAAATACAAGCCTACTCCCACGTACCAGGTGTGCATCTGACTAAGCCCAGCCAGGTGTTAATAAATCAGCCTTTACTAATAAATCAGCTCGTGTGCTCTATTCTAAATATAGCCAGGGTTTTGCCTGTTCCAGTTATTACTGCTGCATTTTAAAATGACCTCAAAACTCAGTGGTTTGGTACTTAATACTACTGAACTGTACACTTAAAAAAATTGTAAATTTTGTATTATGTATATTTTACCACAATAAAGAATATGGAAGGATTAAAAACAAACCTTAATGTTTTGAAACAACCGTTTAACAATGCTCACAGGTTCGGGGGGTGGTCAGGCTTTTAAGGTAGGGCACAGTGGGGAGGGCTCATCTCTGCTCCATGGTGTCTGGGCCTCAGGCGGAAAAATCAAAGGCTGGGGGTAGAGTCTGGGCACTGGAATCATCTGAAGGCTCTTTCATTTACATGTCTGAGTTGAGTCAAAAACCAGAATTGTCTACTGGAGCACCCACACATGGTTTGGCTTCCTCACAGCATAGTGGCCTTGGGGTAGTCAAACTTTTTATATGGTAGCTCAGAGCTCCAAATGTGAATGTTCCAGGAAAAAAAGGGAGAGGGCAAAACCTGCATTTCATTTATACTTAAACTTAGAATTTCTGTCATACTCTATACTGTTCCAAGCAGTCATAAACCTATCTAAAGTCTAGGTTGGGGGTGGGTAGAATGAGGAGTATCAAGACCACATTATGGAAAAACATGTCTGAAGGAAGCTATTGTTGCAGCCATTTCTGAAAAATACAATCTGTCATACCACTTTTTGAAATGGACCAAAAGCAAAGAAGCCACAGAAGAATCCATTTAGAGAAACAGAGCCCTGAAAGAGGCCTTAGTGAACACACAGTGCGTCTACCCTAAGGATTAGCAATTCACTCCTGAGAGGATCCCTCCACAGGGTGGGCAAGTGCCAAGGGCATCAGGCTGAGTATAAGGAGTGGCTGGTGTCTAATTGTAGTTCTGTCAGTCCCCAATCATGTGTAATCCCAAGGTAGGAAGGCTTTTCATCACTGAGCTTCCTCACCTTTAAAATGGAGGTAATTCTTGATCATGTTTCACCAGTAGTGTTGTGAGAATCAAGTAAAATATTGTGAGGAAAATTCGTGGCAAAGTTGTCCACAAACTGACTCCTCCGGTGGACAGCACACTTCGATAATGCAACTGGGGTGGACCATGTGCTGCAGATTCATCTTTGCCACCACTCTTCCCCATAGCAGCCACCCTCCTGTTTTTGCTTGCCTATTTCAGAAGTAGGAGACACAGATAGAAGCTCAGAGAGGGCATATGACCTGGACAGGGCAACACAGCCAAAAAAGTGACCAAAACTTAGATCTTCAGGCATTGCTAAGACTTTCCATCCTAAAGCCTCCAGGTGACTCTGACCTTAGCTGAGAAGCCTGACACAGATTATAGCCAACACCTGGAGTCACACTGCCTGGGTTCATATCCAAATTACCTACTAGCTGCGTGACCTTGGGAAAGATAATTAACGTTTCTCCATATGTTAAATGGAAATAAGACCTCCCACACAGGATTAAAAGGTAACCAAGTGAACAAAAGGCACTTAAAAAGGTGCCTCCCACAGAACAAGCACTCATTTGCTGTTATTACAAATACTATTGTGTATTTAGGATATAATAGGTACTAAACGTTTGAAAGTGAGAAAGTAACATCCAAAAATGTAATGAAATGTAATGGCGGAGGAATTCCTTGAAATGATAAATTCATTTTGGAGAAAACTTTTAAAAATAAACCCCAAACCTCTACCATTTGTCAGCTCTAAGTCTCTGGGGGCAAAATGAAGGTTGGTGGAAATTGGCCTCTGACGCCTACAATTCCAATTTCATTTATTTTATTTAATCATTGCCTCCACGAAGCCCGCAGACACCATCACAGGCGGGACAGTCCTGTAAAGCCCATTCAAGTCAACCCACACAGCACAGCCAACCCCACGTGCATTCCTCACCCAGCTGCAACCGCTTTCAACTCTCTCCCTACCCTTTCCTATTCGGCGCCTTCGAATGACGTCAGAAGCGGGCGCCGACGCCACGGGAACCAGTGTCTGCGCCTGCGCTGCGCCCAGGTGGCGGCTCAGAGCTCGTCAGCTAGCGTGTTGGCTGGAAGGCCGTTAGGCTTCCGGACCCGCTGGGACCCAGTCTCTACCGTGAGGCGTCGGGGCGTCGGGGACCATGCACCGCAGCCGCCAGGTGACGTGCGTGGCCTGGGTCCGCTGCGGCGTGGCCAAAGAGACGCCAGACAAGGTGAGGCCTGGTCGCCCTGAGGTGAGGGGAGCGGCCTCCTCGCAGCACCCTGGGTCAGCCCCGCCTAGGGAACCTGGACCCAGGACGCGCGGCCCGGGCGCGGCTGCTAGGACTGACCCGGGTGAGGCCGGCTGTGGCCAGACTGTCGTGACTAGGGCTGCAGCTTCTGGGGTCTGGGACTCCTGGGCCTAGGAGCAGGGGCCGCGCCTCCTCATGGTCCCTTCCCTCAAGCGCAGCCCCACCCCCTCAAAATCGCTCACACGTGGACTTCACGGGCTGGAAGGTGGGGGTGCGGCTCGGAGTGGGAACTCCCCAAAAGTCGCCTTGACGTCCGCGCAGCTTCCCCCACACCCTAGTGCGTTTTCAGGCATAACGGGAAGAGGGAGCATGTATGTGAAACTCCACTTTCCACTCCTTCGCTCGGCGTGTAGAGGAATAAACTGGATGAAAGCTATGGTGTAGAAAAACTGGTGTGGAGACAATGTCGTGAGTCTGGGAGATACATTAGGAATTTCTCGCAGTGAACCAAGTGAGATGTGGATGTGGCAGTGGGGATGAGAGGTAAACGTGACAATTATGAAGAGGAAACCTTAAAGACTGAGCCGGTAGCAGGAAAGATTACTTAAGATACTTAGTGCTTTCTGTGTTCCAGGCATTGTTCAGGATCCTGGGATGGGCATAAACAAAACAAGAAAAGTCCCTGCCTTTATGGAGTTGACGTGTATATGTAATATTATGTCATTGGGAATTAATGCTATGAAAGAAGAAAGGGAGTGTTTCAATGTTACTGGGCCAGTTCCACCAGACACAGACGGTTTTATTTACCAGTTTTCTCCAATGTTTGGCTCACAATAGGCATTCAGTGCGTATGTACAGAATAGGGACAGGAAATAATCTCATATTAAAAATTACTGAAGGAGGTAAGATTTGTTGTTAAAAAAGGGACATCTCGCCTTTCAGATACTTGAAGATGGTGATTTCTAAACATGTCTATAGTTTGGAACCACCTGGGGAGCTTCAAAAAATACCAATTCTGAAGTGATTTAATTGGTCTGGAGTATAGCCTGATTCCCCCACGTGATTCTAATGTGCAGACAAGTATGGGAACCATTGCTTTAAGAGTTTATAGGAAGAAGAGATTTAATTTAGTCTACAAAATCCCAGGAAGGAAAATTCAAACCAATAAGAGAAATTAGAAAAACAAGTCTCTTTTTATTAAACTAAGAACCTTTTAGGTTGGGTAGGTGTGGTTTTAATTTGGTATTTAAAATATATACATTTCAAGTCTTGGTTCTATTTGTGGACAAATTTCCAAATTGCTCTGTGATATTTTTGTTACTCTGTGTTACAAAATGAGTTGCTACAACTGGAGATTGTGATGGTGGAGACTTATTGACACATGGGGAAAACCATATGTGCAATTAAAAAAGGACTTTTAGTTTCTGGAGCTATCCAACTATAGAATGTCATCACTGTAGAGGATATCCATATTTTCAGAAGCGTTTTAGTACAAACTGGGTGATTGATTGGCTCGTCACCTATCATCAAGCATCCCTACCATGGGTGGAATGATAGAAACTTAGTTTAGCAGTGATAGAGGTGTTTTAAAAGGTACTGAAGCATTGATTAGGTAAGGAAGGCCAATTTTGAAGTAAAGAGAATGACTTTAATTTTAAATCAGAATATCCAAGTGGAGAGTCTTATGGGTAGTTAGAAAAATGGAACTGGATTATATGTGGCTAGAGAAGAGAAAGTTTGGAGTGATCATTTTAGAGACAGTGGTTTTACTCTTGAGAATGAATGAGCTTTGTGGGGAAATGAGAGCATGATGAGTGAATACTTGGCAGTGATAGCAAGGAAGAAAGCAGGGGATGAAAGCAAGGGTGGTTTGTTAAGGAAAATCCACGGGGAAAACTGGGAGAAGCAGCCTAGGAGTCTGAGTAATTGGAAGAAAATGAGATGGGCTGTCATAGAAGCCAGTTTATACAAGTCTGTCTTTTTTGAAAAAGACTGGAGAGAGGTAGACTGAACATGATTTTTGAACAGTTCTAGGTTAGAAGGGATCTTAATTATAAGGACCTGTGAAAACTCCATTTACATTAAATTTAGAGACCCTGGATTGATACTCGATTTTTTTGTTTTTGGCCTGTTTTTTGTGTTGAGTTTTTTTAGGGGTGGTGGTGGGGAGAGGTAATTAGGTTTATTTATTTATTTTCTAATGGAGGTACTGGGGTTGAACCCAGGACCTCGTGCATGCTAAGCATGTGCTCTACCACTGAGCTATATCCTCCCCCCTCAATTTTTTTTTAAATTGAAGTACAGTCAATTACAATGTGTCGATCTCTGGTGTACAGCACAATGTCCCAGTCATTCATTTACATATGTATATTTGTTTTCATATTTTTTCCATTAAAGGTTATTACAAGATACTAAACATAGTTCCCTGTGCTATACAGAAGAAACTTTTTTAAAATCTATTTTTGTACATAATAGCTAATATTTGTAAATCTCAAACTCCCAAATTTATCCTCTCCCACCCTCTTTCCCCAGTAACCATAAGACTGTTATTAAGTCTTCGAGTCTGTTTCTGTTTCTGTTTTGTAGAGATGAGTTCCTAGTGTCCTTTTTTTTTTTAAGATTCCACATGTGAGTGTTAACGTGTGGTATTTTTCTTTCTCTTTCTGGCCGACTTCGCTTAGAATGACATTCTATAGGTCCATCCACGTTGCTGCAAATGGCATTATTTTATTATCTTTATGGCCGAGTAGTACTCATATTGTGTAAATATACCACAACTTCTTTGTCCTGTCAGCTGTCATTGGACATTTAAGTTGCATCCATGTCTTGGCTATTGTAAATAGTGCTGCTATGAACATTGGGGTGCATGTGTTTTTTTGAATTAAGGTTCCCTCTGGATATATGCCCAGGAGTGTGATTGCTGGATCATATGGTAGATTTATTTTTAGTTTTTTGAGGAATCTCCTTACTGTTTTCCATAATGGCTGCACCAAACTACTTTCCACTAGCAGTGTAGGAGGGTTCCCTTTTCTCCACACCCTCTCCAGCATTAATCATTCCTGGACTTTTGAATGATGGCCATTCTGAGTGGTGTGAAGTGATAACCTCATTGTAGCTTTGATTTGCATTTCTCTGATAATTAATGACACTGAGCTTTTTTTCATGTGTCTATTGGCCATTCATATGTTTTCATTGGAGAATTGCTTGTTTAGGTCCTCTGCCCTTTTTTGGATTGGGTTGTTTTGCTGTATGAGCTGTTTATGTATTCCGGAAATTAAACCTTTAGGCTTTCAGCTTTTCACCAGTAAGTATTATGCTGGCTGTAGGTTTGTCATAAATAGCTTTTACTATGTTGAGATGTGTTCCCTCTATACCTACTTTGATAACAGTTTTTGTCATAAGTGAGTGTTGAATTTTATCAAAAGCTTTTTCTGCATCTATTGAGATGATCATATGGTTTTTGTCCTTTCTTTTGTGGATGTAGTGTATCACATTGATTTATTTGCTATGTTGGACTAGCCTTGTGTCCCTGGGATGATTCCAACTTGATCATCGTGTATGATCTATTTTATGTGTTGTAGGATTCTGTTTGCTGATATTTTCTTGAGGATATTTACATCTATGTTCATCAGTGATATTGGCCTGTAATTTTTTTTTTTTTTGGTAGTGTCTTTGGTTTTGGTATCAGGGTGATGGTTGCTTCATAGAATGAGTTTGGGAGTACTCCCTTCTTTTCAATCTTTTGGAAGAGTTTGATGAGGACTGGTACAAGTTCTTTGTATGTTTAGTAGAATTCCCCAGTGCAGCCATCTGGCCCTGGACTTTTGTTTGTAGGGAAGTTTTTTTATTGCTTATTCTGTTTCATTTCTGGTGATCAGTCTGTTCAGGTGGTCTTTTTTTTTTTCTTGATTAAGTCTTAGTGAACTACATGTTTCCAGAAATTTGTCCATTTCTTCTAGATTGTCCAGTTTGTTCCCATGTATCTGTACATAGTATTCTTTTATGATATTTTGTATTTCTGTGGTATTGGTTGTAGTTTGTCCATTTTCTTTTGTTATTTTGCTTGTATTCTCTCTCTTTTCTTCTTGGTGAGCCTGGCCAAAGGTTTGTCGATTTTGTTTACCCTTTCAAAAAACCAGCTCTTGGTTTGATTGATTTTTTTCTATTGTTTTTTTAATCTCTGTTTTATTTATTTTCTCCCTGATCTTTATTATTTCCTTCTTTCTGCTGACTTTTGGTTTTGTTTGCTCTTCTTTTTCTTATTTTAGGTGGTAGGTTAGTTTGTTTATTTGAGATTGTCTTCTTTTTTGAGGAAGGCCTGTATCGTTTCTTTGGACTGCTTTTGCTGCATCCCATAGGTTTTGTGTGGTTGTGTTTTCATTGTCATTTGTCTCAAAGTATTTTTTAATTTCTTCTTTGATTTCATCATTGGCCTTTTTTTTTTTAGAGTAACATGTTGTTTAATCTCCATGATGTTGTTTTTCTCTCCTCTGTTTTTCTTTGGTTGATAAATAGTTTCATGGCGTTATGGTCAGAAAAGATGCCTGAAATAACTTCTATCCTCTTAAATTTGTTGAGGCTTCTTTTGTGCCTGAGTACACAATCTATCCTAGATAATGTTCCATGTGCACTTAAAAAAAGATGTATATTCTATTTTTGGATGATGTAATGTCCTAAAAATATCAACTAAGTCCAACTGTTTTATTGTGTCATTTAGTTTCTTGTTGCCTTATTGATTTTCTGTCTGGAAGATCTATCCAGTCATGTTATTGTGGTGGTAAAAGTCTTCTACTGTAATTGTGTTCCCATCAATTTCTCCCTTTATATCTGTTAGTATTTGCTTTATGTATTTAGGTACTCCCATATTGGGTGCGTATATGTTAACAAGTGTAATATCCTCTTCTTGTGTTGCTCCTTTAATCATTATATAGTGTCCTTCTTTATCTTTCTTTTGCCAGCAGTGGTGCCTCTGATCTGTGAAGACAAAGGCTATAGCACCCCTCCCCCTGGCATGCACCAGCAGTGCTGCTTTCTTTTTTCTTTTTTTTTAAATAGGGGAGTCTGGCTGTTCTGTTCTGTATACACTCCCAGCCTTGGTGCACAACACACTCCAGTCCCCTGAGGTTGCCTCTGTGCAGTCCGCCCCAATTCTTGGGCAGTCTGCTCCAGCTCACCCCTACTGGCTCACCTCTAGGGCTGAGGATTGCAGGGACCCTTTGTGCCCATTTTACTTAATTTTGTCAGTCAAGGGCTGCTGTGCACAGATCTGAGCCTCAGAGGTTCCCCCTCTGTTCCTGCTGACCTCTGTGTTGGAGAGAGGGGGAGTCCCAGTGTGAGAGCGCTATTCCTCCTTTGCTGCTCCCTCCCTGCGGGACAGGTCTTGCACTAATATTCTCCTCCTCCTCCCCCTCCACCTCTCCACCTCCTCTTCCATCTCCACCAGATTTGTGACAAATTTTGTCTCTTGAAGAAGGTGATGTTCTGTCAGTTCAGCAGATGTTCTGAATGGGTGGGTCCGTGGATGTCTCTCTCGGTGTATTCATGGCAGAGGGTGAGCTAAGAGCGTCCTTCTCCATCATCTTGGCTGCATCTCTCCTGATACTCGATTTTTAATGTCTCTTGAGTTATATTTTACATTAGTTTACAAACTTATTTTTAATTCAAAGACTTTTGATTTCCTAAAATATATCGTAATGAAATATTTGCTCTCTTCTAGGTAGAGCTTAGTAAAGAAGAAGTGAAACGTCTCATTGCCGAAGCAAAGGAAAAATTACAGTAAGTTACAGAATGTTGATGCCTGTAGTAAAGTCAGATGAAATGTAAATCTTAAATAATGATGACGGGATGGTCTTGTTGTTGAATGGTGCCTTTTGGGTGATGTCTTTTTACTTTTTCTTTTTTCATTGGTGTAGAGAAGAAGGTGGCAGTGATGAAGAGGAGACAGGTGATCCTTCAGAGGACGGCATGCAGAGTGCCCGTACCCAGGCACGACCGAGGGAGCCCTTAGAGGATGGCGACCCAGAGGATGACAGGACCCTGGATGATGATGAGCTGGCCGAATACGACCTAGATAAATATGATGAGGAAGGTGACCCAGGTGAGAACTCACTCACTTCTACTAGTTTTTAATCACAAATTCAGTGCATCAGATCATGCTTCTAGTGTTCCAGAGCTTTACTCTGAGGCTTTGTTGTCCTTTATGTCAGATAATCTGGTTCAAGGCTTGGGCAGACAGCATGCTTCCTAAACTGTTTCCTGAACTGAAAATCAATTCAACCCACTAATATAAAATCTCAAAAAAAAATTAATATTGTATGCTTTGTTGCAAGTAGTGATTATGATAATCTGTAATTCATCTTTCTTTGTCTGCAGTAATTAGAGAGGAGTCATTACCTCTATTTTACAGAAGAGAGAACAGGCTTACAAAGATGAAATACCTTTGCCAATGTCACACAGCTGATGAATAATGGAGCTGAGGTTTGAATAGTCTCTGGCTCTAAAGCCTTCATGCTTTTCACTGCACTTCATTAGATGCAGAGGATATTTTTTTTCATTGGACTCTGGGTTGTGGGCCTCTGAACTTGTTACCATCCTGCTAGGACAGAGTACCATGGGAATACAGAGCAATAAGAGCTAAGCAGTCTACAGAAATGGCATTCAGAAACTGCTCCCTAACATTCTCCACACCCTGCAGAGTACTTGTCCTGTCTTTCTCATCTGGTGGAAATTCCCATTTGTTGCTTATCAGGTATTATTAGTCCTGCCTCCTTAAATATCTTTAACCTTGGCTATCTTGATTATAATATGTCTTAGCGTTGGTCTATTTGAGTTCTTCCTGTTGGGGACTCTCTGTGCTTCCTGTACTTGGATATCTATTTCCTTCTTTTGGTTTGGGAAGTTTTCAGTCATGATTTCTTCAAATACCTTTTCAATCCCCTTTTCTCTATCATCTCCTTTTGGAATCCCTATTCTGCATAGGTTGGCACACTTTATATTATCCCATAGGTCCCTTATATTGCTTTCATTGGTTTTTACTTGCTTTTCTATCTACTGTTCTGATTGGGTGACTTCTTTTATGTGTCTTCTAAGGCCTTATTTATTCCTCTGCATTATCTTTCTTTCTGCTTTCGACTGTCTTTAGCTCAGCTCCTATCTCAGCAGTTGAGTTTTCTGTTTTTAATTGGCTCCTCTTTATAGTTTCAATTTCCTTTTTAAAGCATTCTCTGTCTCTATTCATAGTCTCTCTTATTTCTATCAGTGCTTTTATCACCCCCTTTTTGAAGCCATGATCTAGTAGACTGTTGAGATCTATCTCATTGTTCGTTCTTTCAGGGGACTTCTCTTGTTCTTTTAATTGGGAGTGGTCCCTCTGCTTTATTTTACTTATATTTCTCTGGCTTCTAGGAGTATCAGTTATCTACTGTGGTCTTGAAGGGCTGTTTTATTTTTTATTTGTTTTTATTTAAAGTGGGAGCATTCCTATGTAGACTATGTGCGTCTAATAGTTTTGTTGCGAGGGCTGTTCTTACTATGGATGGTTGCCACCTCTTTCTTCTGTGAGTGTTGGCTGTTATCCCTTTGATTGGGGGTGTGGTTGGTGGTGTGATCAGAGCCTGCCCTGGTTGTTGTTGTTGAGCAGGACCTCCTTTTTTGTTCTGTGGTTGTCACAGCCTTGACAGGGGCCGGCTCTGCTCCCCTGTTGCTGGAATAGAGGCTTCTAGACCCGTTTCTGAGCTGTGGCGTGTGGTAGGCAGGGTTGGAGCGCATCATCTGGAAAGAAGTGTTGCTGAGTACCTCCGCAGGAGATGTCCCATTGGGAGGTGCTCTCCGTGGTGTTGTCTGTCACTTGTTATGTGGGCTTACAAAGTATTCTTTGTTGACGCTGCCTTTGTCCCCACCTTAGCTACGGGAATGTTGGCCACCTGCTCTGATGTCCCCCAGGTTCTGGCCCCCAGGACCACCAGTGCAGATTCACCAATGTCAGGTGATAGGACCCACCATAGCAAGCATGCAGTCACACACCTGAATCCGTGGTGTGCCACAGGGTCAGTGCAGTCCCCAGCCCTGCCTCTGCATACCGTATGGTATGCCAGCCTGTTGTAAATACCCGTAGTCACCCCCGCCATGCACCAAAATTCCGCTCACTGCTTATTCGTCCCAGAGGGACGGGTCCATCAATGGTCCAGAGAGAGCAAATCCACCCTCTCTGCCTGGGGTTATAAACAAATCTTAGTCCCTCCTGTGAAGTTGCAGGGCCACTAGGTATAGATTCAGCTTTCAGCCCCACCTCCGTGCTGCAGCCTTGTCTTTGACAGAGCCCCACTCCTCTTCTCGCAAGAACACACCAACAGTGGAGCCAGGCAGAGAAAGCAGCTGTGGTGCGACTGTGTTGTACCCCTCCCCTCCATGCACACCAGCAGTGGCGCTTTTTTAATGGGGTCCCAGGCTGTTCTATTCCACACACACCCCCAGTTAGAGCTCACACCACCCTCCAGTCCACTGAGGCTGCCTCTGGGCAATAGGCCCCAGCCCTCTGCCCAGGCTCCTCACTGATCTCCAGCAGCCAGTCCCAGCTTGTCCCTGCTGGCTTGTATCTAGGGCTGGGAATCACAGGGACACTTCATGTCAGTTTCTCTTAGTTCTGGCTACCAAGTAGCTGCCACTTTCTCCTCTGACCCTCAGAAGCTCCGCTTCTGTTCCCACTGACCTGGCGGGAGATGGGGCATCCCAGTTTGAGGGTGACTTCCTTTGCTGCTCCCTCCCTACAGGACTGGTCCTGCACTGGTTTTTTTCTTTTTTCTTTTTTTCTGTTACTGAATTTTGTGAGAATCCTCCTGTATTTCGAAGTGAGAGACACTCTGCCAGAGTTCAGTAGGTGTTGTGTGCAATTCATTGGATTTGTAGATGTAATTCTTGGTTTACTTGTGGGAGAGAGCGAGCTGTGAGTCTGTACTCTGCCATTATAGCCTGTCTCTGTGTTTTATTCATTTCGATTTATAAATTCTTAACAGATACCGAAACTCTTGGTGAATCTCTGTTGGGTCTTACAGTCTATGGGAGTAATGATCAAGATCCTTATGTTACTCTGAAAGATACGGTAAATATTCGCATGGCTTTTCTAATTCTGCTCCTTAAGTGTTTGAAAAACCTTATCAAATATCTGATTCTAGTCAATGACTTTTTCTCTGTCCACTTAGGAGCAATATGAACGGGAAGATTTCTTGATTAAGCCCAATGACAATCTCATAGTTTGTGGCAGAGCTGAACAGGACCAGTGCAATTTAGAGGTACATGGTAAGTGAAATACATCCCTTACTAAAAGGTTCTCTACTTTAGTGATATTAAAATAACTATAATAGTAACTATTATGAATTTCTAAACACCAGGTTCTGCTGTATCTCATTTAGTTGGGTTACCTGGTTAAATTCTACATGGTCTACAGACTTCCTGGTTATTGTGCCTGGGTATGTGTAGTCTGATGTGTCATTTTAGTATCTGACTTTATTTATGGAAAATGATCCCCTAGAAAGTTCTAATAGGGGTTTTTTATCTTTTGTTTAAACACTTTTGCTAATTTTTGTTTTTCTTTCTCCCTTCATTGGAGAAAACCTAGAGGTAAAACTATCTTTAAATGCAAGAAAAAATTATAATCTCTTTATCCCAAGGTAACTTGTTACCTTGGATTTTTACTCCAGTTCACTTTCTGGCTCCTTTTTCTTCATATGGTGAAGGTTATATTCTGTATAATTTATCCTGCTTTTTCACAAATTCATTTCAGATATTTCCCCTTCCACAAAACATTTTATTTTCTTCATAAAAATTCAACTTAGAGGCCCACAGGTTCTCTTCAGGAACCAAAAGGTCATGGTCACTTTTCCCAGTTCAGGGAATGTCTGCACTAAAGCCAGAGGTGAATACAGTTAGTTGACCCTTGAACAACATAGGTTTGAACTGTGAGGATCCACTTATACGTGGATTCTTTTTCAGTAATAAACACTTTAGTGGAGAAACACTGTACAGGGATATGGAGGGTGGTCTGTAAGTTATACACGGACTTTCCACTGCACGGAGGGTCAGTGACCTTAACCCCCATGTTGTTTAAGGATCAGCTACTTGGAATCTGAAGCAGACAATGATTCACATTTTTCTTTTTATTTGAATTTTTAAATCAAATACCTTAAGGTTGATATTTATTAATTCAACAAACATTAATTGAATGATTATTTTCTTAAAAACACCTTCAAGATGTCTGGAATATTTTGCCTCCACATTTTCCCTTTTGTTTTTCTTACCCCTTTCCATGCACACAGATCCTCAGACAGGTCCGTTTTTGCTCAGATACTCTCCTTCCCCAACAGTCTTCTATTCATTTGCCTTAAAATTTGGAAGCTTTAAAGAGATGATTAGGCTAATGCCTTTCATTATAGGAAATACAGTTGCATAGTTTGAAAATTAAAACCTTTAGATTTAATGTTTATTGGCATCTTTTAGGTTACTTTGTCACTTATTTCTTTTATTAGCTTGGATTTCTGTAACTCTTCACAGTCGAGGGCTGCATGCAGGAAGCCTAATAGGCCATCTTTATCCCATGGCCCACTGAAAGGCTTTAAATAGCAAATACATGTGAAGCTATTCTCCTAATTATCTTTGAACTTTTTACGTATTTCAAATGAAAACTTTGTTCATAGAATTTTTAAAAGACCAATTCTAATTTCAGAAAAATTGAAGCTGTTAAACAGTTTGTCGTCATTGATTTTTATACATTTTCGTGTGAGAATTTATTGTAGTCATTCCTTTGAATCTAGTGAGTATCAGAGTGGAGTTGAGAAGTTAAAGAAAAACAATTGTATTCGTATTTTGTTCTAAGTTAGGTTATTAATGATATATTTTATTTGGATTTGGTCTGAATCTTCAAGTTACCCAGTGTATCTCTGTTCAAGAATAATTTCAAAATTGCATTCTGAATTAGATCTGAATGTTGATCTGACATGGTTAAAAGAAGATTAAAGCATCGTCATCAGGGGGAGGGTGTAGCTCAGGGGTACAGTGTGTACCTAGCATGCACTAGATCCTAAGTTCAATCCTTGGTATCTCCACTAAAAATAAATGAATATACCTAATTACCCTCAAAATAAAATAAATTAAAAAAAATTAAACTCAATTAAAACATCATCATCATTTTTATTTAAAATGTAAGCTGAGTACATTGACCATAGGTGAGGTTCTTGCAGGACCACTAGCTAATCATTTTGAGCATGCATTTTAACCATGAAATGATGTGCTGGAACATTACAGAGAATCTGCTAATCCCAAGATCTATCACAGGTTTAGTGGTCTGAGGAATTTTAAAAAATCATTTGCTTATCTTAACATTACTTCTTTCTAGTAAAAGACATATTTGAGGGAAATCTGTGATTTCTTGGGCTCTATTTTATCAGTGTTTCACTGTATAATTTTTAAAGGTCTCCTTAATTATTGATTTTAACAATATTTTTGCTCCTTAACATTGTAACTGAATGATAAAGAGCTAATTTTTTTTAGTTGCCATATTCCAGAAGAGTGTTCTCAAGAGCATTATTTACAGTGCTGGTCTTCATAAACTTTTTTTTTAATTGAAGTAATTTTTGATGAGCATTTAGATTTCTAAATATGAGTTATTTCTTTCCAGTGCTGATTCGTTCTTGACTTATAGCCAGATAGACCTTTAAAAGATAAAATTATATTGAAGTATTTCTTATGGAGACATCATGAGCATTTGTTTTCTGTAATAAATAAACCAGAAAGTAGGACCATTGTAGCTGAGGAACATGCGGATCGAGTATTCAGGCAGATGTCAGTTCTGTTGTCAGTACTGCTGTTCCCCTTTGGAGCACACCAGACGATGGGAATATGTTAGACGTGCAGAACTTCTGCCTAGTAGTAAGTACTTTGGAATCTCTTTAGTGCCATCAAATATGTCTCACTTTAAGCCTATGGCCCCCATAGGTTTAGGGAGAGTTTATTCTTTTGAGCTGGATATGATTTCTTATTCTGATATAATAAAGTCTCTTCCCAATCTTTTCAGTTTATAATCAAGAAGAAGATTCTTTTTATGTACACCATGATATCCTGTTGTCTGCATACCCTCTGAGTGTGGAATGGCTGAATTTTGATCCTAGCCCAGATGATTCGACTGGTAATTAGAAAACTTAAGATTACTCAATGCTCTTACTCCTGTGTTTCTCCTAGCCCACATAAGTTACCTATTTTGTATGAATGTTTTCAGAATTGTTGATATTTTATGAAGTTAATGTTCTTTTATGAAGTTACAGAGTTCTCAAAACATAATCACTTAATTGTTTGGGGCTGTATGTCTCCAGATTTCAGACAGGCTGAAGAGGTAATTTCTCCACTGTAGGCAGAAGGACAGGGCCTGAAAACCATTTTGGGCTGCAGAACTGTGCAAAGATCCCATAAAAAACCCAGTATAAAATGGTGTAATGCACCTGATGTTACCAGCTAGAGTGTAGTGCATGACCCTTTGCAGAACCCTCAAGTAAAACCAAAATGAAGAGAGAATTGGGTATCAACTACTATGTATAAAAATAGATTAAAAAAACAGATTTCTTCTGTATAGCACAGGGAACTATATTCAATATCTTATAATAACCTTTAATGAAAATAAATATATGTATATGTAGGTATGACTGGGATATTATGCTGTACACCAGAAATTGACACATTGTAACTCACTGTACTTCAAGTAAAAAAAAAAAGAGGAGGAGAATTGGGCTTTCATGTTAGTCGCTGTAGCTGTGCTGCACACTGCTAGTTGTCCCTGTCATACTTACTAGGGCTAAAAACTCTAACACTCAGTCCCTCATGGCAGCCTGTGAAGGCGGAAGGGATTTTCTCATTACATATGTGAGGACCTGGGAACCAGGGGCCTGAGCCTTTGTTACTCAAGTGTGGTCTGAGGGCCAGCAGCACAGCATAGCCATCACCCGGGAGCCAGCTAGAAATTCAGGCTCAGGGTCCCAACCCAAGGCCTCTTGAAACAATCTGCATTTTAGCAGCATTCAGGTGATGTACATACATATGAAAGTTTGAGAGAAACTGCTTTAAGCCATTACTCAGTGTGTCATTAAAATTTATTTTTAAAATCATAAGTACATCATTTTCTCCTGTAGGAAATTATATTGCTGTGGGAAACATGACCCCCGTTATTGAAGTGTGGGACCTTGATATAGTGGACTCTTTAGAGCCAGTCTTCACACTTGGAAGTAAGCTATCAAAAAAGAAGAAAAAGAAAGGAAAGAAGGTAAGCAAGCCAATAGATATTTAAACTCCAATGACAAACAGAGAGGTTTGGTGGGAGAGGGGACAGGGGATAAGAACATACACTTTTTCAGTTAGATAGTTTTGGTGGAAGAGGACAGGTAGTTATGAAGTTATTGTAGTTTCTAGTTTCAAAATGCCCATCCAAGGAAAAACTGATTTATGATTACATAAAGCCTCCATTGTTACATTATTCATCTTTACACAAAACAGATTACTCTCTGGTCATGATCCCGCTTTATAGATAGTAGCTATTCACACTAATAAGCTACTTTTGAACTTTTAAAATATTCATTTAGCCTTGAGTATGTTGAAATCTAAATATCCCTCTATTAATTCCTATAGCTTTTAGAACTGTTCAGTTTTGAAAGGGAGGGATTGATTTGTAGAATTATAGCACCCACATTAAGAACTACTATAGTTTTTTTCCCTGAAAAAGAATATCATGTATCTCTATAGTAACAGGGAGACAAGGTGTTTCCAGATCTTTGAGCATGTGTGCTCAAGATCAAAACAGTAATCTTAAGGTTTAAAGAATCTTTCAAATTAGTGTATCAATTTTGTTTGGGGAGGTAATTTAATACCAAAAATAATTAAACTAAACAATCATTACAGAATTCCTCAGCAGATGGGCATACTGATGCTGTCCTTGACCTTTCTTGGAATAAATTGATCAGGTAACAAGAAATACCATTTGAAGGATTGTTAAAGATTAACCATTGTGGTTTTTCCTCATGCCTGCACTTGTCTCCCTACACTTGGTGTTTCGAGTCTTTGTGTCCATGTCTTATCTTTTCCTGAAGTATATACTGCTTGAAGGCAAGAGCTCTGCTGTCTGTCCTTGCATCCCCCACATCACCTGCCAGCTTTTTGCTTAGTAGAGGCTCATTACATATTTGGGGACCAAGTGCACTCCTCTCCACCACCACTGGGAAAAACAGGATATACCGCAGTGCCAGTGGTGCAGTAGAACTATTTCTTCACAGAAGGCCTTTTTCTCACTTCATTTAGTATTCTCAACATCTCATCCACATGTTTTTGTTTTTGTTTTTTTTAAACTGTGGTGAAATATACATAACATAAAATTTACCATTTTAATCGTGTTTAAATATACAGTTCACTGGACACTGTTATACATTGTTATGCACCACCATTCAACTCCAGAACTTTTTCATCTTCCAAAACTATAACCACATACCCATTAAACAATAACTCTGCATTTCCTGCTCCCCCAGGCCCTAGTAACCTTTGTCTCTATGAGTCATTCTACTTTGTCTCTATGAATCTACTCCTCCAGGTACCTCATATGTAGAATTGTACAGTATTTCTCCTTTTGTGACTGGCTTATTTCACTTAGCTTAAGGTTCATCCGTGTTACAGCATGTGGCAGGATTTCCTTCCCTTTTAAGGCCGAATGATACTCCATTGTACATGTATACCGTATTTTGTTTATTCATCTGTTGATGGGCGCTTGGGTTGCTTTCACCTCTTGACTCTTGTGAATAATGCTTCTGTTATTTACATAGATATAAATGTGGATTTACATGTATGTTAGAGTCCCTGCTTTCAGTTCTTTTGAATATATAGCCAAAAGTGGAATTGCTGGACCATATGTTAATTCTGTTTTTACCTTTTTGAGGAACAACCATACTGTTTTTTATAGCAGTTGCACCGTTTACATTCCCATCAGCAGAGCACAAGGGTTCCAGTTTCTCCACATCCTCTTCAACACTTGGTACTTTCTGGTTTTGTTATTGTTATTTTTATAATTGCCCTCCTAACTGGTGTGATGTGGTATCTCATTGTAGTTTTGACTTGCATTTTCCTAATGATTATTGATGTTGAGCATCCTTTCAAGTACTTATTGGCCATTTGTATATCTTCTTTGGAGAAATGTCTATTCAGGTCCTTTTGGCCATTTTTTAATTGGGTTAGGTTTTTGTTGTTGAGTTGTGGAAGTTTTTTTATATATTCTGAGTTTTGATCCCTTATGAGAGTTATCATTTGCAAATATTTTTCCCCATTTGATGGATGGGTTGCCTTCAACTCTCTCGTTAGTGTCCTCCGGTGCACAAGTTTTCATTTCGATGTAGTCCAATTCATTTTTACTTTTTGTTGCCTGTGCTTTTAGTGGTATATCCAAGAAATCATTGCCAGATTCACTGTCATGAAGATTTTCTTCTAAAAGTCTTGTAGTTTTAACTCTTAAGTCTTTGGTCTATTTTGAGTTAATTTTTGTATATTCTGTAAGGTAAGGGCTCAACTTAATTCTTTTGCATGTCATCCACATATTTTTTATATTTACCCTTAAACAACAGTTACTCCAGAAGGCCATTTTCCAAATAGTGTAGTTGGTTTGAGGGACTACTGTGGCAAGAAGGTAAGCACTAGGTTGAGTACAACTTATCTAGAGGGGTGAGAACAATCTGGATTACCCAGTGCACTTTTTTTTTTTCCAAAGCATTTCTGTCACACTGGACACTTTGTAATTATGAGCATTCTAAGGAAAATCCCATAGCGCTGGCTTGCCAAAGAATATGTTTGTGTTCGGACCTCTTCAGAGTTACGACCATTTGGGGAAATGCACCTGAGAAGGTTGTTTAGGTAGTATTTCCCAAACTTAGCTGCAAACCAGAAACTTCTGAATAACCTTTTAAAGTACAAGTTCCTGAAAAAAAAAAAATGAAATTTTGCCATTTACAACAACATGGATGGAAGTGGAAGTTTTTATGTTTAGTGAAGTAAGTCAGACAGAGAATAATAAATACTGTATGTTATCACTTACATGTGGAACCTAAAAAATGAAATAAGCAAATGAATATAACAAAAACAGACTCTCAGATACAGAGAACAAACTAGTGGTTATCAGTGGGGAGAGGGAGGAGAGGAGGGGCAAGATAGAGGTAAAGGTTTTTAAGATACAAACTATGTATAAAATAAATAAGCTACAGGTATATTGTACAGCACAGGAAATGTAACCAATACTTTATAATAACTTTAAATGGAGTATAACCTATAAAAATAGTGAATCACTATGTTGCACACCTGAAACTAAAATAAACTATAAATCAAAATGCATCCTAAAAAAATAAATTAAAAATTAAAAAGTTAGAAAAAAAACCCTACAAATTCCTTGGCTCTGATACCCCAAGATTGAGTCAGTAGTTCTGAAGCAGGGGCCCAAGAATCTGTTGGTGTTTTGGTTTTGATTTTGTTTTTAAAGCTTCCCCCAGATGAGAATCTAATGCTGCCAGGCTATAGTAATTGGGTTTTGTTCGAATTGGTCCTGATCCTGACTAATGGGCATATAAATAAGAGATCTAATAATGAGTGCCCTGTGCTTTAGAAACCCACTCATATTTACAAATCTAAACTGTCACAATGATTACATATATTAACTTCTCATCGTATAGCAACTGTTACTTTGAGTAACTGAAAGGTCATTCTAATGCAACAACCTCTCATCAGCATTCCAACTGGTTCATCGTTCCCTTTCCCCAGCCACCGTTCCCTAGTTCCATTTAGCTTCTTAATGGCACCTGTTCTCCCATCCTTCCGCATCTGCACTCACATCTGTTTGACTCCAGTGGCACATGTTTCTTTGCTCCTTAACTCTTATTTCTCCATCTTATTTTAGATCTTGGTTCTCCTTTCCCCTTTCTTTACTGAAAAGGTGCAGTATGTCTTGAAATGTCCCATACTCTGGGTGCATAGAGTTTGGGACTGTGGTGAAGAATAACATGTTGGCCTTGTTACTGGTGGGACCTTGGTTTCTAGTAAAATGCTCCCAGTTAAAAAAAAAAAAAAAAAAAGCATGTTCTCTGCTGATTCATTCTCTTGTTGGAGTGCTTTTCTTGCAGGTGTAGTGTTCAGAAGTTTTGTTTTTTGTTTTTGATCTTACACAATAAGAACTTGAATGTGGAAATAATTTCAGGTATTTTTGGAATGATTAAAATGAAAATGTACTATGAAATTTTAACTTTTTGCTTTTGGGAGCCATTGTTTATAAATAAACTGATTATTGGGAATTTAAGTTAAATTTAATGTATAAAATGCCAGGGGCTTAAAACATGACCTGTATGCAGGACTTAATGGTAGAAAAAAGCTAGCATGACCCAAATATACATGATCTTCTTAAGAGACATTGCATATGTCACTGAAATGTGACTTATAAAACTAAAGTAGTTTGAAGTAACTTCTTGAGGAAATAATACCTTAAAATGGACCCATCAATATTTTAACAGTACGTTGATTTTCTGAACAAAAAGATTACTATCATTAATGACCTAATTTTGTGTTGAGCCATTTTAAAGCTAGATGTTGAAGAATGAGCTTTCAATTTCAGGAGTGTCTGTATTTTTTAGACAGCATCTAACATTTATCAAGGGCTCACTACGTTCCAGTCACTCAGCCAGGTACTTGGCATAGCAGCCCTTTGAGGTTGGTTGTTTCATTCTCATTGGCAGGCAAGGAAATGTAACTTAAGTCTTAGAGCTGGTAAGAGGCAGCACCCAAGAATCCATTTTAGGTTTTCTGGGCTCTAAAGCCTGTGTTCTGTTGTGGAACTACATTATTAGCTCTTGATCCCTGACAGGTAGACATCCTGGGTTTTTTCTATTAATAGTATTTAATGCTCTTTTTTTAAGGGAAAAAAAAGTTGAGATGTATTTCATACTATATGACCTAGCAAATACATGTATCAAAAAATTCACTTTAAAAGTGTTTCAGTGATTTTTAGTATATTCACAAAGTTATGCAACCATCATCAGTAATTCCATAATATTTTCATCAATCCAAAAAGCATGCTATACTCATTAGCAGTCACTCTTTATTGTCCTATCCCTCCAGCCCCTGGCAGCCACTAATCTACTTTCTTGTCTCTGGATTTGCCTGTTCTGGATATTTCCTAGAAATGGAATCATCATAAATGGCCTTCTGGGTTTGGCTTCTGTCCCTTAGCATAATGTCTTTGAGGTCCTTCCATGTTGTAGCATGTATCAGTACATCATTCTTTATTGCCAAATAATATTCCCTTGTATGGATGTACCACATTTTGTGTATTCACTCACTGGATAATGGACATTTCCTTTGTTTTTGCTTTTTGCTGTATTATGAATAATGCTGCTAAGAACACTTGTGAACAGATTTTTGCAGGGACATATGTTTTCATTTTCTTGGGTATACACCTAAGAGTATAATTGCTAGTCATATGATAGTGTCTTTGCCATTTACATTCCCACCAGCAGTGTAGGACGGAGGGTTCCAATTCCTCTACATCTTGTTAGCACTTGTCTTTTTCATTATAGCCGTTCTGTGTATGAAGTGGTATCCCATTTTTTTAAATTTCCCTAATAACTAATGGTTTGAGCATCTTTTCACATGCTCATTGGCCATTTGTCTATTCAGATCCTTTGCCCATCATTTAATTGGGTTGTTTTATTATTTAGCTGAGAGTTCTTTATATATTCTAGATGCAAGCCCTTTATCACATACAATTTACAAATATTTTCTGTTCTGTGGGTTGTTTTTTCACTGTCTTGATAGTATAATTGCAACACAAGTTTTTCATGTTGATGATACCCAATTTATTTCATGTTTTTGTCATATCTAAAAAACCATTGCCTAACCCAAGGTCATGAAGATTTATACTTATTTTCTCCTGAGAGTTTTATAGTTTTAGCTCTCACATTTAGTTGCCCTGTGATCTATTTTGAATGATTTTTTGTATATAGTGTGAGGAAGGGGTCTAAACTTCATTCTTTTGCTGGAGAATATCCAGTTGTCCCTGAACCATTCGTTGAAAACACTTCTTTTCCCCACTGAACAGTGGATAATCTTGGCACCCTTGTCAAAAACCAATGACTATAAATTTGAGGGTTTATTTCTGGACTTTTCTATTCCTAATGTCTGTACTTAATGCCAGTACCATTGTTTTGATTACTGTAGCTTTTCAGTCGATTTTGAAATCAGGAACTGTGAACTTTCTAACTTTGCTCTCCTTTTTCAAGATTATTTTGGCTATTCTGGGTCCCTTGCAGTTCCATGTCAATTTTAAAACCAGCTTTCCGTTTTTTGCCAGAGCCATCTGGCATTTTGAAAGGGGTTGGTTGAATCTATAGATCAACCTGTAGATGGCAATATTTCTGTCTTAACATTAAGTCTTCCAGTCTGAACATGAGCTATCTTCCTATTCATTTAGATACTCTTCAATTTCTTTCAACAATCTTTTATAAGTTTTCAATGTCTTGCATTTCTTTCATTAAGTCTATTTCTAAGTATTTTATTTGTTTGAATGCTATTATAAATGGAATCTTTATATGTAATGCTTTTGATTTTTAAAAGATAACCTGATTTGTTTCCTTTCTCAGAAACGTGCTGGCAAGTGCATCAGCTGATAACACTGTAATTCTGTGGGATATGTCCTTGGGGAAACCAGCAGCTAGTCTTGCCGTACACACAGACAAGGTATGGTGATTTAGTGGGTAAAGGGGATTCTAAAAAAATCTGGGAAGCATATTAGCTACAAATAATCCAAATATTTATATATGGCTTTTTGTGAATTACGAAGTGCTCTGACTTGGTATCTCACTGGATTGTCATAGAACTTTGTGCTTTACAACATGTTTACAGAGGCTCCTAAAAAGGGCTGAGGGTGTGTCAGTCACCAAATGGGGTTAAAGAATTTAACAGATGTTACTACAGAACTCAGGGATCTAATGTGCTGATGCACCTTGTGAAAATTTCAGTGTTTGGAGTTGCCCAGTAAGTTTGATCCCCCCCCCACATTTTTCCTTCTGATTATACTTTAACATTTTAGGGACATACCTATTCTCCAAGCACAATTTGGGGAATACTGCATTGTGTCTTTCAGGTGTCAGCCTTTACTGGGAAGCATGTTTTGCCCTTTTGATTATGCAGTACATTTATGTTTCTTTAAATAGTAGAAACAGTACCAAATTGATTCTCACCAAGTATTAGGCAGTTTTACCAAAACCAAACAAACATTGACCTGTTCATTTATGTTTCCTCCTTTTAGGTACAGACTCTTCAGTTTCATCCATTTGAAGCACAGACTCTAATTTCTGGATCATATGATAAGTAAGAAAACATTTCAGGAATTATTGCTGCTGTTTTTATCCTCTTGAACTAATTCAGAAAGTATCACTTGATACTCAGGTAGAATTTATTACTGAGGCTTCTGGGTGTTTAAGTTTTTAATAGTACTTTTTCCCTTTCAACTTGATCCTTTCAGCCTGCAAAGGAATATCGTTGTATCATAATAACATAGTTCCTAACTAGCAACTGCTATGATTTTTAGAGGGTGTATGAGTTAGCCACTGCTGTGAAACAAGCCATTGCAAAATTCAGTGACTTAAAGCCATGAACACTTATCGCCTGTCCTCTGCAAGGTTGAGCTAACTACTCTGGGTTCAGCTGACAGCTCTGCCAATCTTGGCTTGTTTCAGCTGGGCCCAGAGACCTGGCTCTCTTCATGTTTCACATCCTCCTGGGACCAGCAGGCTAGCCCAGGTTTGTTGTCACAGCAAGGTCAGAATTAGAAGCAGAGATACCAGTGCCTCCTAAGACCTGGGCTCGGAACCAGTACAGTGTCTTCCTCTCTTGGCCAAAAGAGGTATCACATGGAGTTGGAAATGGACTCTGCATTTATGGGAGGAACTTCCAAATCACTGACAGGGGCACGTATATATAGGGAGAGGGGAAGAATCGGGACCACTGCAGTCCCCCACAGAGGGGTTTCCAGCCACATGTGTTTGTTTTTTTTTTTTTTTTTTTACAGATTTGGTCTGAAGGTGGGAAAGGTAGCTAGCAGAAACAGAAACCAACTTGCAGTCTTTATTTTGATTCCTTATCCTTTTGAAAAGTACTGTGTTTATGTTTTTCAGTTGGGATTCATTCAGAATTAGAGAAGTATATCCATCAGTTCCCCAAACACAGTAACCTGCTTACAGAGAGTAAGCATGGGTGGCTGAGACATGAGTTATCAGTCTCAGCACTGCTGGGGAAGCGGAAATTAGAAATTGTCCTGTTCTTTTGGAAATAGAAAGGATTCATCTTGGAAGTAGAGGATTCATTCTGGAGGTCAAGGCCAGAGCCACCAGTGTCTTTAGGTGACAAGACCAGAGTCTACCAATTATAAAAATCAACTTGTCATCTCTACTTTTAGAACCTTAAAACAGGCTTTAAATAATTGGATCTTGATTTCACAGTTTTATTACCATGCCATTTTAAATAAACTGAAAATACAGGAGAATTGAAGTCTTAAAACCCTGACTGTGCCCAAATCTGTCCAGGTCAGTGGCTCTGTATGACTGCCGGAGTCCAGATGAAAGCCATCGAATGTGGCGATTCAGTGGGCAGATTGAGAGAGTGACTTGGAATCACTTTTCACCTTGTCATTTTTTGGTAAGTATGCATATTATTTGCTTACCCAGGTTGCTAATGACTTAGACTCTTACATTGCATTGTAGAGAGAATCTCTGAAAAGCTTTTTCTACGTTAATAACGTGAAGTATTTAGATTGGAGTCTTTCTAAAAAGGATTTTTAACAGAACAATGGATCCACCACAAAAAATAGTAAACACTTTTGTTAACTTCCAACCATCCCAAAGAGTGCCACATTTTTTTAGTTGTAATAATTACGTGATAATTGTAAAAATTATTTTGAAATAGAAAGCATGGCTAATATTCTTTTTATGCTTTTTTTAATGGTTAAATCAGTCCAAGAAAATAACCCTTTTTGTTTAAATATTAGTACTTCAGCACTTAATATACCACTGTCTCCCAGGTAGGAAAAAAGTGTATGATCTCTTAATCCCCTTAATATCTGTAAGATAACAGTTTTCTATGTAGCATCCAAAGATGCCACTGATATTTCAATCCATGTAGAAGTAAAATCCCAGCTTTTATCCAGAGGGGAAGGTTAATTAAGGAAATTGTTATACATCCATATACTTCCTAATTTTCCTAAAGTATGTATGGAGTGCTTTGTAAAATGAGGGAAAGAATCCTTAAAAGAAAAAAAAAAAGCTCTTTTAAATATGGATAATTTTAATAAGTTTCTTGCCATTTTGATTTTGAGAACATTTAATCTCAACTCTGCACAGAAGTGCATGCAGCTCCCCGCTGAGCTGTGTGAAGCTCATAGTTATTAGGAGTGAGGTGCCAGTTATATTTGAATGTGGTATTGTACTTTGGCTCTCAACAGGCAAGCACACATTTCCTGAGGTTATTAATAGATGGTCATCAGCACTAAAATCACAAATATTTAGGAAAATGGAAAGTAATCAAAATAAAATGGTTTACCTCGCTCCCTCCAATCTCAAAGGATGAGACCTCCCTCTTCAGTTTCTGTCCCCATCTGCAGCCTGGCTTCAAGACCACAACATGTGTCCTCCCCCTCCCCGTCCTGGCTGTTTCCCTTCGCTGTGTATAGGCTCAGGTCTCTCTCCCCTCTTTGACTAGGTCTGTCTCTTAATTCCTTCTGTTTCCTCTCCCTTTCTTCAGTGTTACTGTAATCTGCCTTTCGGTTTTTATCTGATTAAATCTCTGCCAAAATATTGATAGCATTGGCACTTCTTTCTTCAGAACCCCTAGGCTTCCCTGATATTCTTTGTAATTTCCTCCTCCTCCTTTGATTCTTACTTCTTCCTCAGCCTGTACCTTAAGTGGCTGTGCTCTCCAGGCCTTTGTCCCCAACACACTGCACTTTAATTCTGTGCACCTGGGCTGTGTCCCCTCTGTTCTCATGGATGTAACTTCCACCCCTGCGCTTTCGTCTCTCTAACCCTGGTCCATACCATGGCCACAGCTTCATATTCATCCTCATGTTCAGCTGCCTAATAGACGTATCAGCTGAACTAGAACTTGTCCATGTTAATTTGTAATGAGCTCCTCAGGTAAGTCAGATACATAGCTGACTTTCACTATGATTTATACTACTTACCAGTTGCTAAATTTTATTGTCATGTAGCATCATGTCCATCTTTTTACTCTTTCCAGGCCAGTACAGATGACGGCTTTGTATATAATTTGGATGCACGTTCAGATAAGCCAATTTTTACACTTAATGCACACAATGATGAAATCTCTGGTGAGCAAGAATAGTGTTTCATTTCTATTATGATGAAGTAAATCTATTTCAGAGTGAGTCTTTGAACTAATCTTACCTTCCTTTAGGTCTTGATCTAAGCAGTCAAATCAAGGGCTGTCTTGTGACTGCATCAGCAGATAAGTATGTGAAGATCTGGGACATATTAGGAGACAGGCCAAGTCTAGTTCACTCAAGGGACATGAAAATGGTAAGAATATCCTTGAGCATCTTGGTTTTTTCTGTTTCTGATTTATTGTTTGTCTTACTCTAGGAATCACTGCATTAAAGAATATGTATTTGTTGGGAAGTTAATTTTGGGCTTAGTCAAATTGTGAGAGTTTTACAACTCAGGACAGTTTGGGGAGAAATCAAAGACTGGTTCCTTTTCCAACTCATAACAGTTGTTTTGTAAAAACAAGGATGATAAGGAGATGGTTTCTAGGACACAAGTGGAATAGCCTTTTTTTTTTTTTTTTTTTTTAAACTCAGGGCCATCCCAGGAAACCCTTGAACCTTTAGGGCACCATATCTGTTGAGGTCAGTTTTTCACCCACCTCTTTTTATAACTAGTTCTTATCACACTGAAATTGATCACTACATAGTAGCAAAAGTTTTAAAAATGACGGGAATTCATTCATCAAATATTTATTGAGCACGTACTGCAGTCAGGCACTGAACTCTAAAACTGCAGATATATTTGTGTATATATATGTAAGTATGTATGTATGTATGTATATATACATAAATTTGTGGAAAGGCAGCTTACAGAACAATTTTTATATTTAAATACTTAAGTACTTGAATGCTTATATTTAAATCTAGAAGACCCTGTCCCAAAACATGAACAGCTGATTATCTTACTGATTTTATTACATTTCCTTATTTATTACTAGATAACACATGCATCATAGAAAATATAAAGGGGAAAAATTAAAAATTTAAAAAAATGATTTAATAGTGATCTGTGGTATCAGCATAATTACGTAAAAAGGAGAATTAAAGTTTCTGGGATTATTGAGCAGGTTAGACTTAATAGGAAATCTCTGTTAGAGGGACCTGAGGGTCCTACCTGTCCTCACAGAATGTCCATCGTGTTGAACTTGGCCAGCTTTGTATTGTAATGATAACCCTTCCAACTTGACTGAACTTTGCAGGAGGCCTGAAAGAGATACTGGTGAGTTAGTTTTGAGTAACCATTCAAATCATAGGTTCTTGTAGACAGGACTAAGGATCAAGGTTGGGGCCCTATGGAAAGACTGGAATCAATGACTTTGTATTCTCTTCTCAGGGAGTTCTCTTCTGTTCTTCCTGTTGTCCTGATTTGCCATTTATTTATGCTTTTGGAGGTCAGAAAGAAGGGCTTCGGGTCTGGGACATAAGTACAGTCTCTTCAGGTAAGACTTAATTTCCTGCTTTCTCTGGATGAGTTCTGTAAGAGCTAACATAGAAAGTGTGGCTTGAATACATTAGAGAGCGAGCAAAGGTAGATCCACAGTGTTCATACCCTTAGTACAGCCTGCTTAGGAAATAGATAAGATCAAATGTAATTTGGAAATGTTCAGGTTCACAAATAAGTTTGTCTTCACGCTTTTAAATGTAGATCATTTCAAAAATATCTTTATGGTAAAATTTGAATTTTAAAATGATCTGAAGAGCAGCCCTCCTTTCCCAACAATGGCCCATCCCAGTGTAAATATATGTGCTCCCCCCCCCCCCCAACTATTTCCTATAAAATCCAACTTTCCTGAAGGGGCTGCTCTGCTGGACTGCTTGTTTATTATCTTTGATGTAATCTGGAACAATAAAGCCTCCCTATCTGATTAATGAGAAAAGGTCCTAAATCCAAAAGGGCTCTATTCTGCTCATGATACAGAGAAAGATGAAAGTAGGGAACAATTCTACTCCTGTAGAATAAGGGAGGGACAGTCACTGTTATCATAGACTGGACATCTGTTAAGGTGAAGTGGATAAATCCAGGACAAGGCAAAGTTTTTTTTTTTTTTTTAAGTGGACCAGCTTAAAACAGTTAATGTTCTGAATGAGGTTAACTTTCTTTTGCGTTGGTTACTTCCCATTTACAAAGTGCTAAATATATTTTCAAAACACAATTTCTACCTCAAGGTAGAGAACCTCATTGCTCATTTCTACATTTTAGTCTCTTTATATTTTTATAAGCTAAGTTTTTGATCTGGTAGTTTAACAATTTATTTATGTTTTTAGTAAATGAAGCATTTGGAAGACGAGAGAGGCTTGTTCTCGGCAATACAAGAAATTCATCTATTAGTGGCCCTTTTGGGAGCAGAAGCTCAGAAACACCAATGGAATCTTAAAAAGCTGGCCTAAAAATTCCCTGTGTAGCTGCAACCATGCACACAACAAACAGAACGGCCAGACATTCCTCTCTGCAACTGCGGGGGCAGCACAGACAGGGCTGGTCGTTGTGCGTACCTTTCAAGCTTGTGGTATGTATACTCCACCTGCATTTCTTGAAAGGGATAATAAAAGTTTTTTTTTTAAGTAATTCCTTAAATATACCATCTATCATAGGTCATCGAGGGTTGTAAAATAGTTACTACTTGATAGAATTTTAAAAGAGGAAAATTCTCTAATCTTAAAAGATGGTGAACAGAGGCCTGGAAACTTGGTGATTAGGCCAAGACTGCACCTTCCTGACTGACTGTTCTCCAATTAATGTTCATGATTTAGAAGTGTTCTAAAATTGGCATGCCTTTTTTTTGTCCCTATCATGGTATCATGTTATCAAACGAAACAGGCATTACATAATGATAAAAGGGGTCAGTCCAACAAGAGGACATAACATTTGTAAATAAGTATTTTAGGTGCCCCTATATTGGGTGCATAAATAAAGCAAATGGTAAAAGAGCTAAAGGGAGAAGTAACAGTACAATAATACAACCCTACTTTCACCAATGGGTAGATCGTTCAGACAGAAACTGTATTATACAGCTATAGTAATCAAAACAGAGTAGAGAGCCCAGAAATAAACCTATACATATGGTCTGTTTATGACAACCAAGAACATACAGTGGGAAAAGAGCAGTCTCTTCAGTAAATGGTGCTGGGAAACTGGACCACTGTCTTACACCATACACAAAAATTAATTAACTCAGAATAGATTAAAGATTTGACCAGTAAACCTGAGACCATAAAAAACTTAGCAGACAAAGGAATTACCACCTGTAACACTGGGTATGACACCAAAGGGAACAAAAGTAAAAATACGTAGGACTGCATCAAACTAAAAAGCATCTACACAGCAAAGGAAGCCATCAAAAAAGAAAAGGCAGCCTACAGAACGGAAGTATTTACAAATCATATCTGATAAAAGGTTAAAAATCCAAAATACATAAAGTCGTATGACTCAATAGCAAAAAAAAAAACCAATTTAAAAATGGACAGAGGATCTGAATAGACATTTTTCCAAAGAAGACATACACATAGCTACAGGTACATGAAAAGGTACTCAGCATCACTAATAATCAGGTAAATGCATATCAAAACCACAATCAGATATCACTTCATACTGCTCATTTGAAATGACTCATGAAAAAGATGAGAAAGTGTTGACAAGGATCTGGAAAAAAGGGAACCCTCGTGCACTGTTGGTGGGACTGTAAATTGCTGTAACCACTGTGGCAAATGGTATGGCGGGTCCTCAGAAAGTTAAATATAGCACTACCATATGATCTGGCAATTCTACTTCTAGGTATTCATCCAAAGGAAACAAGAATAGTAACTCAAAAAGGTGTGCACCACCAGTGGTCACTGCAGCATTATTTACAATAGTTAAGATATGGAAACAACCGAAGTGTCCATCAGTGGATGGATTTTAAAAATGTGGTATACACAAAGTAGTATTAGCCATAAAAAAGAAAAGTCCTATTATTTGTGACAATGTAGAGGTACCTTGAGGACATTATGTTAAGTGAAGTAAGTCAGAGAAAGGCAAATATTGAACCATATCTCACTTCTGTGTAGAATCAAACCCCTCCCCCAACCCCTCCTAAGCACATAGATACAGTAAACAGATTGGTGGTTGCCAGAGGTGGGGGAGTGGGGTGAAATGGGTGAAGGGGGACCAAAAGGTACAAATTTCCAGTTATAAAGTTAAGTCATGGGGCTGTAAATGTACATCATGGTGACTACAGTTAATAATACTATATTACATATTTTAAAGTTGCTAAGAGTAAATTTTAAAAGTTCTAATCACAAGAAAAAAATTGTAACTATGTGTGGATGGATGTTAAACTTTGATAATCATTTTGCAATACGTACAAAAATCTAATCATTATGTTGTATACATGAAACTAATACATCAGATCTCAATTTAAAAAAAAATGAAAAAGTAAAGATGTGCTCCCTTTAGGCAAAGACAGTATCTTAATTGGCTATGTCATAGCCTAAGTACATTACTTACCCTAAATGTTCTGTTTCTCCCAATGCTTAACTTCTTCCCCAGAATGAGTTAAATATCGCAAAAATGGAATACGATTGTATCAAAAGCAAAGTAAACAGACTCATAAATGTGGTTTCCTAGAACTCTGCAGTAGATTACTTGGAGTGTTCTCTGAAACAAAACCTGTAAGGAAGTAGGGGAACAGAATTATACAGAGGGAGAAGTTGAACTAATGGAACTTTACACAGATGTTCCATTCAGACCTCTACCCCTAAAGCTGAAATGACTGTTCACAGAAGTCCTGACTGAGATACTGTGGCAGAGCCTCTGTAGCAGTGTATCAACCAGTCATCTGGTTTAGGCTACCCCCAGGAATGACGAGTCTTCTGGAGCAAGGCAACTGCCAAGAGCTAAGAGCCTTCTCCAGAGAGAAACTAAGCTGTGAGGAATCAGCAGCCAGCACCTCTGGAAACCGCTTCTTACTCAAAGGGATTTGAAGTGGTACATCCCAGCATCCATTACACAGTTCACCGTCTCCTACAGAGCCAGACTGAGGAATCCACATCATAGAAAATCCAGAGGAACTAAGGAAACAGTGCACCAACAGCCAGGAGAAAACAAAGCCAGAAAGTTGAATCGTTTGGGACTACGTGTTCCCTAGAACATCTGTGGACACCAGAAAGGTGTTAGGGCCTGAGGAAGGAGAGAGCGAGAGAGAGAGAGAGAGCACGCGCGCGAGAGAGAATTTTGGCCAAGAGAGAGGGGGTGTGTGTGTGTGTGTGTGTGTGTGAGTGTGAATTTTGGCCAAGAACTAGAAATTGTATTTAAAATGTAAAATCTGGAACTGAAAGACGTAACAGAAATGACAGATTCCATAAATGGCTTTAAGAACAGTATAACTGAAAAGAGAATAAACAAAAAGATACATAATTCTCTAGAAGAGAGAAAGTGAATGTGAGACAAAAGCAATACATACAAAAATGTTAGCTAAAAAGTTTCCAAGACTAATGACATCAAACCACAGATGTGAAGGCACCACTAACAAACCTATGCAGAATACACCAAAGAAAATCATATCTAAGTACATGATGGTAAATTGCTGCCAACTATAGCTAAGGCTAAGGAGGCAAGGCAGGGAGGAGCATTTATCTTTAAAGGAGCAACAACTCAACTTATAGATGACTTCTTAGCAAAAATAATATATACTTAATGAAAGTATATATTCAAAAATACCAAAAGAAAATAGCAGCCAAATCTGAATTCTATACCTAGCAAAATGATTCAAGAACAAAAATGAAAATTATTATCAAATAACACTGAGAGAGTCCTGTCAAGTGACCACACTAGAATAAATCTAACAAACAAATATTAAAATACACAAAAATAATTGTGAAGAGAAACCTAACCTAAGGAATGAAAGTGCCTAGAAAGTACTGGTCACATTTTTATTGTGACTTGATATGCAAAAATCAGGAAATAAAAATAACCAGGTACAAGATGGCCAATATGTACATTAAAAAAAAAGTTCAGTATTGCTAATTATCAGAGAAATAAAAATCAAAACTACAATGAGGTATCACCTCACACTAGTCAGAATGGCCATCATTCAAAAGTCTACAGACCTGGAGAGGGTGTGGAGAAAAGGGAACCCTCTTACACCGTTGGTGGGAATGTAGCTGGTGCAGCCATTATGGGAAACAGTGTGGAGATTACTGAAAAAAACAAAAATACACTTACCATATGATCCAGCAATCCCACTCCTGGGCATATATCTGGAAGGAACTCTCATTTGAAAAGATATATGCACCCCAGTGTTCACAGCAGCACTGTTTGCAGTGGCCAAGATGTGGAAGCAATCTAAATGTCCAATGACAGATGACTGGATAAAGATGATGTCATACTTATATACAATGGAGTATTACTCAGCCATAAAAATGAAATAATGCCATTTGCAGCAACATGGATGGATCCAGAGATTATCATACTAAGTGAAGTGAGTCAGACAGAAAAAGACAAGTATCATATGATATGACATGTGGAATCTAAAAACAATGACACAAATGAACTTACGTACAAAACAGAAACAGACTGACAAAAAACAAACTTATGGTTCCCAAAAGGCAAAGGAGGGTTAGGGATAAATAAGGAGTTTCGGACTGGCAGATACATACTACCATATACAAAAGAGAGGAACAAGATCCTACTGTATAGCACAGGGAACTATATTCAATAGCTTCTAATAACAGAACTATACTCATTATCTTAAAAAATAGGAAAAAAAAATATATGTAACAATCACTATGTTGTACACCAGAAGCAACACAACATTGTAAATCCACTGTACTTCAATGTAAAAAAATGACCAGGTACAGAAGGAAACAATAGTAAACCATAACTGAAAATATTTAAAAAGCAGACAGTAGAAAGTGCTGAAAGACAACAGTAGCCAAATTTGAATTCTATACCTAGTAAAACTACCCTTCAAGAACCATAAGGTGTTTTTTGATCACTATGACCTAAAATGCGAGTTGGCACAGTTTCAAAAAAATAGCCAGATGGTAAACATTCTGGATAGCTAGCTAGCTGCATCTGTCAGAACACTCAACTTAGCTGTAGCATGAAAGGAGCCACAGACAATATATAAATAGACATTAAAAAGAATAAGGGACTGAGTGTGGGTGAGAGACAGAGGAGAGAGGGGAAGGAGAGGCAGACTGTTCCTTCATCTTCAAACACTGAATGCCTGTTCTGTGCCTAGTGCCACACAGGCATGGGGGAAGATTCAGTGTGAAGAAGAAAACTGCCCTCCACCTAATGGGACAATTCTAATTACAGATTAAGTCCTCCTGTTAAGTGTGAGTTTTCACAAGTGGTAAAAATTAGTTTGAGACCCAATCCTAAAGTGGCAGAATAAAAGAGCCTATCAGTTCATGAACCATTAATGTTTCCTGTGAAATTCATGAATATGACTTCAATTGTTTTAGGTAATTCCTGCAGAATGTCATTCCAAGTCAGACACTGGTATAAAGGTACAGCAACTTGGGTTCACCAAAATCTCTCTAGAAAGGACAGCAGACTGAAGGATGAAGTGCCTATTTTGGTTTTCTTGGTTTTGATCTGGCTTTTAATTAGATTATCAAAACAAGCCCCAGATTAGTGACAGCCAGAGGGAGACTTCTGATAGGTTTAAACTCAATAGTTAAGTGTCTCTCAAACTTTATATTCTTCTGTAAAAAATAGCTATAAAAATGTATCTTTCCTGGATCTCAGGGAAGGTTGTATATAAAAGGGAAAGAACTTGCACTGTTTTTATATAGACAAGGCTCTACCCAAACATATGTATCATATAGAGTAAGAACTCATGTTTACTGCCTATAAAAACTTTAATGCTAAAATGGGGTTGACATTTCTGTTTCCAACTTGAAGGTACCAAGTCTGAGGAATGCTAAGCAGGGAGGTGCATTCAAAGTCAAGAGAATTTGCCTCCAAGGCTATTCATGAGAATAGATCTGGGCACCTGGCATCCAAGAACCTAGGCTTGCAGTTATTGCTGAAAGCTAGCACAGGCAGGGGGTGAGACATCTGAGTAGACAGGCAACAGAGGTAGTCAAACCTGGGGGACTGGGAAACATGGGGGTTCAAATACAGGTGAGGACTGCAGATTTAAAAGGAAGCTCAATAGTTCCATACAGACTGAGAAAAGGGTTCCCCATTGCTTCCTACCACAGATACACACCACTCCTAGATGTGGGCAGATCTGAGCCCAAAGATTTGAGGCCAAGAGAGAGTGCCTACCTGGCATGGAAAGTGGGAGAACAAAATGCAGCATTATTTTCATCACTGGTAGTCTGCTGGTGACAGGTGTTTTCGTTAGGTAGTGTGTGGAGAGGCAATAGGGTTGACCATGTCTGTCAAATTATTTTATAAAGCAGAATCAACTTATTTGGGGGAGGTGAGCATTATACAGGAGTGACCATAGGCCTTATAATTGTTCAGGACAACCCCAGCTGCATACACACGACATATTAAAGTTTTTTTGGGCATAGTTTTTTTGCCCTGGTCTTTTCAAGACAAGCAAATTAATAAAACAACAACAACAAAAAAAAATTGTCAGAGCAAACATCCAGAATTTGGGTTCAAAAATAACTGGTTTTATATTTCTACTTCTAGCTATGACAGATTAGATCATTATGCTCTTCCACTGAAAACACAAAAGGCTGAATGAACAAAATGCACGCAACATCTATATGAAGTCATTGGAGAGTTTCTAAGATAGCCGAGCCTTGAGGGAAAAAGAGATCTGCAGAAATGACCTAGACTGGTTTTCTTCTCAAGCATTTAATAATTATTATGTTATGTAAGGTGAGAAACTAAATGGGGGGAAAATGCAAGTGAAAACTACAGCAGAGCATTCAGCAGTCTCATGATGCCAGAAAAACAAAATCTGAACTTAAGTATCTCAAGGAGGGAGGTTTCCAAAAAACACTTCAGGCTCTCATTGTGACTATACCCTACAAGGAGATGTGAGCCAGAGGTAGAGCCAGCTTTATAAAATCAGAAGCCTAGACTGGAATAAGCTCAGTGCTTGACTGGATTGAGATGTTCCTGCTCTAGTTGTTTGCAAGGCTACAGTGAATCCTCTCTGGAAGAGACTAATTTTATCCACAGCTTCCAGTGTTTCTTATACAATCTCCAGGATGCCATCAAAAATCACCAAGCATACCAGGAAACGGGATCAGAAGAGAAACAACTCTGAAAGGAATTCACCCAATCGACTTGCATTGGACATGGACTTTGAAATACCCAAAGCAAAGAGAAAGTAAGATTGAATATGTCACCAGAACACTGAAATCTATAAAGAATCAAATGGGGATTCTAGAACTCATATATTAAACAAGAAATTTTATATATGAGATTAACGAAAAAATTAGACACAGGTGAAGGATTAGTGCACTTGAGGGGAGGTCAATGGGAAATATTCAGAATAAAGTACAAAGAGAAAGTGTATTATAAAAAGCATAAGACACAGATTGGACATGATGCAAACATCTAAAATTCATGGAACTGGAATCTGAGAATAGGATGAGAGAGAGGGCAATATTCAGAGATTATAGCTAAGGATTCTTCCCAAACTGATGAAAGGTATCATGTCAATAAGCACTTGGAGGGAAAAAATGCTCAACACAGGTTAGGAGGGAAACACAAAGCAAACCCACAACTGGGGTGCCTCTTCACACCCGTAGAAAGGCTATAATCAGAAATACAAGTGTTGGTGGGGATATGGTGACGCTGAAAGCTTCATATGTAGCTAGTAGGAAGGGAAAGTGATGCAGCCACTTTGGAAAACAGTTTGGCAGTTTCTTTAAAAGTTAAACATCAATTTACCCTGCAAACCTGTAATTCCACTGCTAGGTGTGTACCCAAGAGAAAAATACGTCCACACAAAGACTTGTATGCAAATGTCCAGGAGCTTTGTTGATAACAGCCAGAAAGTGTAAATGATCCAAAGTCTATCAACTGGTGAATGAATAGTCAAGACGTGGTATATCCTTACAATGGAATCTATTCCGTGATAAACAGGAGTGAACTACTGATACATGCCGCAGCCTGAGTGGGCCTTTCAAACACACTAAGTGAAAGAAGCCAGACACAAGAGACCATACATTGTATGATTCCACTTACCGTATCACAAAAGGCAACTTTATAGAGATAGTGGATTAACGACTTCCTGGGACTAGGGATGGAAATAGGAGTGACTGCAAATGGCACACAAGGGATCTTTCTGGGGTGGTGGAAATATTTTAAGAGGATTGTGGCAATGGGTGCACACCTCTGAACATACTGGAAAGCATTCAATTGTACACTTTAAATGTGAATTTTATGGTAAGTAAATTACCCTCAATAAAGCTTTTTAAAATTTTACTATTTTTTTTTTAATAGAGGTGTTAGGGATTGAACCCAAGACCTCATGCATGCTAAGCATATGCTCTTCCACTAAGCTACACCCACCCCTCCTAAAAAAGATGTTTTTTAAAAAGATGAAATAAAGACATTTTAAGACCGAATGTCTTACGGTCAATTAATCTTTGACAAAGGACGCAAGAATATACAATGGGGAAAAGACAGTCTCTTCAGCAAGTGGTGCTGGGAAAGATGGACAGCAACATGTAAATCAGTGACGTCAGAACACTCCCTCAACACCATACACAAAAATAAAGTCAGAATGGCTTAAAGACTTAAACATAAGATTATAAACCTCCTAGAAGAAAACACAGGCAAAACATCTTTTGGCATAAATCTTAGCAGTGTTCTCGTAGAGCAGTCTAACCAACAATAGAAATAAAAGCAAAAATTAACAAATGGAACCTAATTAAACTCAAAAGCTTTTGTACAGCAGAGGAAACCATAAGCAAAACAAAAAGACAACTTACGGAATGGGAGAAGATAATTCGCAAATGATGTGACAAGGGATTAATTTCCAGAATATATAAGCAGCTCATACAGCTTAATAACAAAACAACAACAAAAACCCAATCCAAAAATGGGCAGAAGACCTAAACAAGCAATTCTCCAATGAAGACATACAAATGGCCAATAGCTACATGGGGGAAAAAAAAAAGCTCAGTATTGCTAACT